TTTACATCAACACAAACGTTCAAACAATATATCAGTGAAGTTCTGGCGTAGAGTCCTCTAGCTGTTCCATCCAGCATTTTGTTGTTACATTTAGTTTAGTTGGTCATGTTTTTAGCTAAACTTGTGGTGCTGCCCCCCCACATCCCTTAAGTGTACGTGTAAGTCTGTGTGTGGCGCCCCCCATAGGTGCAGGACAGTATGCGGTTTCCCTTTAAAAAGCAAATGCGTGTGGAGGTGGTGGATAAGACTCAGCTGTGCAGAACCCGAGTTGCTCTGGTCCAACAGGTGAGAGCTGAGAACACGGAGGTCACGGAGGTCACGGAGGAGGAGGAGACTTTAGAATTGAGTCATGTGACCACTGTGTGTTTCAGGTGATTGGCGGCCGGCTTCGCCTTGTCTACGAGGAGTGCGACGACGGGACTGATGACTTCTGGTGTCATATGTACAGCCCGCTGATTCACAGCGTTGGGTGGTCTCGCTCCATTGGACACCGCTTCAAACGCTCCGGTAAGTCAGCTGACCCACAAGCTCCACGCCATCTGTAGACCCGCCTCCTGTTAAAAACAACAGGAAGTAGAAAAAAGGATTTGTAGTAAAAGACTGACATTAAAATAGAAAGGGTAAAGTTAAAATATTCACATCATGACATCACAGCTGAGATAACGTTATAATTATTATGAGAGTTAAAAAGAATCATTGTATTTCTGTGTATTTGCTGACAGATGTGTGCAAGAAGACAGACGGACAGATGGACGCCCCAAGGCAACTCTTCATTAGGGTAAAAACAACACAACTCTCAGAACATTAGCACCAAAATTCAAAAGCTAATAGTGAGTTAACTAAATGACCACTCAGCTAACAGGAAGTTGTCATGAGGATACACCAAAATGTTGCTAATTGTGTAAATTTGTTCAAGTCTGTGATGTTTGCTTTCCCAGGTGAAGGAAGTGGATCAGAGCGGCTACTGGTTCCAGGACGGGATGAAGCTGGAGGCCATCGACCCTTTGAACCTGTCAACGATCTGTGTGGCCACAGTTAGGAAGGTGAGCCGCGCCCCCTGCTGTCAGACCTGGATTACAGCAGCCACTTCTGCCAAACAAAATGGCAACTTGACCTGCAGTGACAAAAAAAAAGACAACAAATGTTTAATCCAGAGTACGAGTGTGAATGTCCAAATCCAAATAACTATAATCCAGATTATGTGTGTGTATAACTCCTAATCCAGATTATGTGTGTGTGATGGCAGGTCCTGGCTGATGGATACCTGATGATTGGGATTGATGGCTCAGAGGCTGTGGACGGTTCTGATTGGTTCTGTTACCACTCAACTTCCCCCTCCATCTTCCCCGCTGGCTTTTGTGAGATCAACCACATTGAGCTGACGCCCCCTAGAGGTTAGGGCTGTTCCTGCCACTGTATGTGCTGATTGTTCTGTGCCTGCAACTCTGGCTCTAACAGTCCCATGTCTCTGCGTTTCTCAGGTTACATGGCTCTGCCCTTCAGGTGGTTTGAGTATCTGAAGCAGAGCAGCTCTGTGGCAGCTCCAGTTCATCTCTTCAACACGGTGAGCGTTTAAATCCAACCTAACCTCGCTAACGTAGCGGCCCACACTGGCTACATCAGTGGTAACTCCCACCAAACCTCACAGAGAAACATCAGTGCTCACAGACTCACAGACTGTCACTGGAACATCGCTTCCTCCTCCTCCAACAGGACATCCCGAACCACGGTTTTCAGCCGGGGATGAAGCTGGAGGCGGTGGACCTGATGGAGCCACGGCTGGTGTGCGTCGCCACGGTAACGCGTATTGTCCACCGGCTGCTGAGGATCCACTTCGATGGCTGGGAGGACGGGTACGACCAGTGGGTGGACTGCGAGTCGCCCGACCTGTACCCAGTGGGCTGGTGTCAACTGTCGGGGTACCAGCTGCAGCCACCTGCTGTCAGCATGGGTGAAGTACAACCTTTGTCCTCCCTGCAGTAATTAAAGAAGTAATAGAAAAAAAATAAGGCATAATGAAATGAATAAAGAGAAGCCAAAACAACACCAAACACGTCAGACACAGAATGTACACAGTGGAATGTCATATGGGCAGCAGCATGAGACAGGATAATGATGTTGGACCTTGTTCTGGTTTCAGGTTCTAGAGTTTTCCACACATCAGCGTCCAAACACAGGAGGAAATCCCAACATTACCGAGGACACAAGAAAAGTCCGTTTTACTTCACTGTCTTCTACGCATCGAGAAAATCTCCCACTGTAAATGACATTGTCTCCGTCTCTCAGAAAGGAAATTACCCCTGGCTAAGGCTTCTGTCCGTCCTCCTGTCGCCGTGGTAACAGGCATCCCCAGGAGTCTGTCCGACGGTGAGAATGAGATGCTGCCACATTACCCATCATCCCCGACTGCCGCCTGGGGAGCCGCTCCTCTTTCTGAAGGGACAGAGAGAAGCCCGCTAACTGAGAGCTGGGAAGGTTCGTCCAACTTCCTGTTTACTACCCATTCCTTAAAGTCCTCCTTCCGGGGATTAGCAGTACCAGAAAACCTCAACCATTTCTTTAATTTGTCGTGTCTCATGGACTAGAGTCCAATTTGTCTCCACAGCGTCTCAGGTTGAAAGTGACGACTCGGAGGTGACGCAGGTTCTTCTGGATTCAACAGAACCAAGAACCAACTAACTTTACAGAGGGTTTGTAGGCCACGCCCACTGACCCGGTGATGGCCACTCCCACTTCCGAAGTGTCCGAGTGTGTTTCATCCAGAAATCCACTAAGGCTATGCGAATTACACAAAAGTTGGTGCAGCACAGTTGTATTTTTTATTTTCTCTTTTATTCACATATTTATTTTGTTTTGAAATCTTCCCTGTGTCTGTTTGACTTTGTTAAAAATCCAAAGAAACAAGAACTGATTCACATTTGTCCAACCGTGTGACATGTTTGTGTTTGTGTCATTGATGACAAGGAACTCTTTCAAAAACATTGTTTTCAGCAGCATGGATCTGAAAATGTTTAACATTAACAAAAAAAAACATAATTTACATTTTTATGGTGAGATGTAATAAAAAAGGGAGAAAACAGTAACACCACATTGTTTTGTTTTAAATGTTGAATAAGTCACTTTTCTATGGATTTCTTTCTGTTTTCTATTCACAACAAACCTGATGTTGTCATTGATTTTCACTCTTTAATCTTCACACAGTGACTACCACTGTGTGAAGATAACAATTGTTGAAGAGTCTAATCTGGTCACATGATGTTGGAAATACTTAGAAGCCCATCGTAAAATGACAGGAAAACACATCTTTAAAAGTTTTAAATTTATTTTAATAAAACCAATATGTGACACAATATTAAAATGAGATGTTAATCGATGATTGAATGTGTAAATAAATAGACATCTGGGTGAAGTTTAAAGACTAACAGATTAGTACAAACCCAGTACAGTTACAACTGTATGTATCAACAGTAGAACTCTGTCGTTACGTCTACAAACTAGTTTTTTCTGATAAAAATGTCTCTATCTTATAATGTGTTACTAATAATAATAATAATAATAAAGCAGCGACACACCTAGGGGGTGTGACATGGGACATTCTGGGCCACAGGTATGACCTCTGTTGAAGACAATAACCTGACTTTATGTGTTTGTATAACTTTATACGTGTCTTAGTTCAGTCTCTCTTCGTGCCAGTCATTCAACATTTTTTAAAAAACGCAACAAAACCTCACTGAGCCCTGGGTAAACATCAAGACTGCCCCGGTCTCATTCAACATCTTTTAAATGCAACAAAACCCGCACTGGGCCCTGGGTAAACAGCCACCCCGCCCGTGGTCACGTGCCTCGATGACGCGGTCTGCAGTAGTTACGTCACTGTCACTCCCAGCGGCGCCTTCTTCCTGGTTCCACAGCGAGCCGTCAGTCGTCAGTCACACAGTCGCCCGAGCGTCACTTAGCCTGAGGTAAGAACCCGCAGCACAGCAACAACCGTGACGACAACCACGGCAACAAGAACCTTAACAACCGCTGTGACACTTTTAACTCGATAAAGTTTAACTTTTGTCTGTCGTCACCGGAAACTGACAAGTTAAGAGTAACAGACTAATTATATCGTTTATACATTTGTCACCACTTTGTTAATTTCCTCAACGGTGACTTTGCGTGATTTAAGCACAGTTTTGCGTCTGCGAGCTCTGGCAGTGACTTCCGCGTTGGACCCGATTCAAATTTCCAGGTCCGTGGGTGAAGACTCTTCTCTTCTGCTGCCGTTAAATGTGACGCGGATCCCGGTCCTGTCTGAGATTTATTGACTGGAACTTCCGTCATGTAACTTTTGTCGTTGTCTTTTGCTTTTTTTCTTCTTCTTTATTCTTCTGCTCTAACGAGGACGATTTGTTTGTGTTTATAACCAGATGACATTATTGTTTTATATATATATATTTTTTTTTTTACAATGGGAACACCCTGTTTTGATAAGGAGCTTCTGCGGCGCATTTAATGGTAGGAATGGGGCGGGGTCTCTTCCTGGTCCCTCCCACCTCACCTGTACCTGCGGAGATGTGACATAGTCAGACAGATGGATTCATAAAACTTTCATTTCATCTTCCACTGCAAATAAATAAATAATTGACAACACTATTTAAATTATGAAGTTGCCTAAATGTTTGCCAAATGTTGCTAAAGTATCTTTGGTTACTGCTCTGCAGTCAACCATGTCCAGAAAGGCAGGAAACCGTGGGCCGGAGAGTGAGACACCGGTGGATGCATCAATCATCCGGATCCCCCCCCATCACTACATCCATGTCCTGGACCAGAACACCAACATCGGTCGTGTGGAGATCGGACCGCGGACGTACATCCGTCAGGATAATGAGAGGTGATTTTTAATTTTTTTTTTTGGCATATTTTTTAGCTTTTTATTCCAAGTTAGTTTAGTTATTAGGTTAGTTTGCAGCTGAATTTAAAGAGCTAGGCAGCCAATCAGGAGCTGCCACATCACTGAAAGTTCGATAATGCGATAATGAGTGTTTGTTCATTCGTTTTTCCCAGAGTTCTCTTCCTGCCCGTGCGGATGCTCATGGTTCCACCACGTCACTATTGTGTCATCGCCAACCCAGTTTGTCGTGATGAAGAAAATCGTGTCCTGTTCGACCAATCAGGGCAGGCTAAGCTGAGGCACGCTGACCTGGAGATTCGTCTAAGCCAGGACCCTTTTCCTCTGTATCCTGGAGAGGAAGTCCAGCAGGTCCTGAGATTATCCATAACCAGAATGTCCATGTTGAGATTAAAGTCCTTGGACGATGCAGAAATATTACACAATCAAATGAACCTCAGTCAACTTTACCCTGGGATTAACATGCTAAAAAACATGCTAGAGGGAACATGTGAACAGGAAGTTACTGAGAAGAACCTAAATCTAAATACAAATTTTATTTACAGCTACATTGTAACATAATCATGCAAACGAGAAGTCCTTTACAGGTAAATGCTAACAGGAAGTTCTGCATTTGTGTTCAGGATGTGACACCACTGCAGATCGTGTTTCCTGACACAGCGCTGCGTCTTCAGGCTCTGCTGGACTTCAAAGATGAAGGCGGAGTACAGAGAGTGGCTGGAGACGAGTGGCTCTTCGAAGGACCTGGTACTATTTTTTTTATTGTTTTTTTTCATCAGAATCTTGTGAAGTTGATGCATTAGAACTAGGAAGTCATTCACACCAGTGACACGGATAAAAGTCGGCCCATTTCTGCATCAGGAACCTACATTCCTAAAAAGGAGGTGATAGTTCTGGAGACCATCAAAGCCACTGTGATCCGAGAAAACCAGGCCATCCGATTGCGAGCTCGCAAAGAGGGCGTGGACAGAAGCGGAGTCCAAAGGGTCACAGGTAGGATTTGTTTAGGGCTGCAGAATAGCTGAGCTATTTCAGCTGTGTTGGCGTTGAAACGCCTCATTGTGAATTGCTATATTTTAAGTTCAGCTAACAGCTAGTTAGGCAATAGCTGTGAGTAAATGTAATGGCTAGCATAAATGCTAACAACAAATCACCTAAAACAGTTACCTCTAACCCAATGGCTGTAAGAAAAGATAATGTAACAGCCTAGTTAACATTGTAAGACAAATACGACTGTGAATTGCTGAAGTCAGTTCAATTTCCAGAACCTTCTGTTTTTATCTGTTTCAGGTGAGGAGTGGTTGGTCAGCAAAGTCGGAGCATATCTACCTGGAGCGCATGAAGAAGTTCTGGACATCGTCAATGCCTTTATTCTTACTGACAAGGTGATGGCGCTGTTATGACTTTTCCTACTGTTTCCATGGTTTAATGTCGACTTCATAATCCTGATGTTCAAGTCCACGAATGTCATCTCATGAATGTGAATTTAAATGTACTTTAATGACTTAAAATTGATTTTTATTGTTTACACAATGACCTTTGACCTCACCTGGTTTATTCACGTTTAATCCATTAGTCCTGGTTTGAGCTCCAGTCCATGTTTTCGTCTCCACTCCTTTTCCATTTCCTGTGCTTTCTCCTGTGTTTGGACAGAAAGCGCTGCATGTTCGCGCCCTGCGGCCTTTTAAAGACGCCGGCGGGCGTGAACGCCGGACAGGCGAGGAGTGGCTGGTCACCATGGTTGACAGGGAGGCTCACGTTCCATCCGTGGCCGAGGAGGTGGTGGGCGTGGTGGATGTGACCACGCTGAGCAGCAGGCAGTACTGTGTAGTCCTGGACCCGGTGGGAGCAGACGGAAAACCACAGCTGGGCCAGAAGAGGGTGGTGAAGGTGAAGTCAGGGGAGAATGAATTTAACAGTCAACAGTTTTATAATGTTTGGCCAGTAGGTGACGCCCCGCTCTCCTTTCTCTTTAGGGTGAGCGCTCCTTCTTCCTGCAGCCGGGGGAGCAGCTGGAACAGGGCATCCAGGATGTGTACGTGCTGTCGGAGGAGGAGGGGCTGGTGCTGCGGGCGACGGAGGCTTTCAACGATATGCAGGAGGTGGAGGAGGAGGAGGAGGAGGAGGAGGAGGAGGAGGAGGAGGAAGGGAGACGGGAGGTGGTGGGAAGAAGA